ACAAAATCATGCACTCTTCAGACTCGATTCACAGATGCGATGAATAATATGGATAGGCAAAAAAAATTGTGTTTCTTTCTTCAGGCGACTAAATGAGGATAGGTGCAAACACCTTGAGTGCATTCTGGATAATCTGAACACCAACTTTCTGGTCAAAGTTGGCCGTTTGCAGCTTGTCCAGCTCCTTGGAAGCATAAAGGAGAGCAACTCCACCACCTGTGAAATTCAAACCTCAAATGGTTGTTTGTAAATCGAAACACTTTTAAGGGGTAAATTTGTGACATTTTAAGAGGTAAACCTATTTTGCAGTCAGATTGAATCTCAGGGGGGGTTAGTTTCAGTAGTTATCCCTTCAAACTAACATGCATAAATTGGGCCACATAGCTGGAGAGAATTTTGGCTTTTGAAGGCAATCTTTTACCAAAAAAATAAGTACAGCAAGAGTACAGCAAGACGGTGCAAGTTACCAGGTACAATGCCTTCTTCGACAGCTGCTTTTGTTGCATTCAGAGCATCAGTAACTCTGTCCTTTTTCTCACCAACCTCGGCTTCGCTGGCTCCACCAATCTTTAAGCATGCATACACAAAATCACATGTTATATAAAAGGAAATAATAATAAGGGTCTATTACAAATTACAACAACTGCCTGTTGAGGTGTAGCATCATTACTATAAACCGAATTATGTTAGAAAACTTCATGCGCTTCTTCATATTTCTTTCATCTTTACAACTTGCACACTGAAGATGTGCAGGCAAATATTTCTAAGGCAAATAAACGCAACTCTCAATGTGGTTTATGACCCCGAATTTTTTACGTGAAAAAAATAAAAAAACAAGTGTTGGACAGAAAACAAAACAGAAAAGGGGAGGTGGACAAGAATCGAAAGCGCGTATTTACAAAATACGTTTTTCAATGTTTTTATTTGTAAAACGTATTTTGTAAATAAGTTTTCTTTTGTAAAAAAATTTTGTAAAACGTATTCCTTAAATACGTTTTACAATTAAATTGTAAAGAAAACGTATTTAGTGAATACGTGTTTTTGATTTTGGTCCACTCCCCCTTTTTTTTTTTGTTTTTTGTCCACTTATTATTTTTTTATTAAGAAATATATAAATTACTCTTATGACCCCAAATGAGAATACTTAAAAGTTTAGAAGATAAATGAAGCTTTTTCCTTTGTAAACAAATAAAATCAGCACATGCGATGGGTGTGGCATTCATTATTATTATCAAAATCTAATTTTTTGTTTCTAAAGTCTTACCTTTAAGACAGCAACACCACCGGAAAGCTTAGCAAGTCTCTCTTCGAGCTTCTCTTTGTCATAATCAGAAGTGCTCAACTCGATTCCTGACCTCAACTGTTGAACAAAATCCATGAATTTTGAGATTGTGCTTTAACAAAAAGTGTGTTTTTCCATTGTCAGAGACATTTAAATATAAAACCTAAAAATAATATGGCATAAACCTGTTCACATCTTTCTTCAATCGATTTTTTGTCACCATCTCCATCAAGAATAACCGTGTCACCCTTTGATACGGTAACCTGATGTTTTCAGTCCAAAAGTCAACATAAAGGTTACAGTCAAACACGTAATTATGTATTAAGATTTAGTAAACCCCATTAAGCATATGAAAGAAATAACAGACACACACACACACACATTTTGCATCTCACCTTCTTGCATGAGCCAAACATGTCAATGGTCACGTTTTCAAGATCCCCTCCCAGTTCATTTGTGATGACCTACATTTATAATAAGCAATAAAGTAATCATAATAATAGTCCGTGGCTGTGCCTAGAGAGAGAGAGAGACAGAGAGAGAGAGAAACATTACCTCCCCTCCTGTTAAGACTGCTAGGTCCTGTAAATATGCCTTCCTGTTATCTCCATATCCAGGAGCTTTAATGGCGCACACCTAAATATCCGAGACAATTTTTACAATTGTTAAAGATACATCAATAAATCATTGACCAATGCCAAGTTATGAAAAAAGAAATAGAAAAACCCGTGATATTGTACAAATGCAAAATGGTATTAGGCACACCTTCAATCCAACTCGAAGCTTGTTCAGAATGAGAGTTGCCAATGCTTCACTCTCTAAATCTTCAGCAACAATCAACAAAGGTTTTTGCTTCTGAAATAATTTATAATGATGGTAAATATTTCTTGTAACACGAGACCAGTTCAGATTTTGATAACACTAAATTTACCTTCAAAGCTATCTCTAGGGCTTTCACTAGGGCAGTCAAGCTTTCTATTTTCTTCTCGTGGATTAGAATTAGAGCGTCTTCCAATTCCTATCATAGAAACAAGAGAAAGGGATTAACACAGTCCATAAAACCATTTTTTACCAATAAAAAAACAATTCAACATCACTCGAAGAGCTTCGGCCTGAGGAAAATATGATTATATTCAATACAATCCAATTATAACTTACACATTTTTGGTTCTTCTGGTTGGTGATGAAGTGAGGAGATATGTAGCCCCTGTCAAGCTTCATACCCTCAACAACCTCCAGTTCATTATATAGTGTCTTCCCATCCTGAACAAGGTATTAGGATTAGTCGATAATAAATAAAGGGCAATTGACTTAAGTTCTTGCTTTTAAAAGAACAAATAAAAGTAGAAAATTGTCACTTACTGCAATGGTAATAACCCCCTCTTTGCCGACTTTTTCCATAGCCTTGGCAATGAGCTCACCAATCTCTCTTTCTCCATTCGCAGATATTGTACCAACCTATTCATTAAAAAAGTCCACATTTTGAGAGACTACAGTTATAATAAAGAGGAAAAAAAAAATCATCATCTTAACATACAAATTGCTGAAGCCAAAAAAATCTAACCTGTGCAATCTCTTCAGATGTGCTGATCATTCGGGCTCTGCTTTTCAAGTTTGTTACTACTGTATCAACTGCCAAGTTGATCCCACGTCTCAAGTCCATGGCATTCATTCCAGCTGCCACTGATTTGCATCCTTCAGCATATATTGCACGAGTAAGTATGGTTGCACAAGTGGTACCTGAAAAGATAAATTAAAGGATCAATTTGTCATTATTTGTCAACAAGAGATTCAACCCAAACAAAAGTTCAGAAAAATCAAAAAATAAGCCCCCAACAGAGACCCCAATGGTCAGCCAAGCACAAATTTTACACCTTTATCAGTTTAAGTAAATAAATAAATAAAAATTGGATAACAGAACAAGAGACTTACCGTCCCCTGCAACATCATTGGTGGCATTAGCGACCTGCTTTACGAGGTTCGCACCAATATTCATGACTTTATCCTTGAACTCAATGCTCTTTGCCACTGTAACACCATCCTTGGTCACTTTTGGAGACCCATAACTTTGTTCTATCACAACATTACGGCCCTAGAGCAGCAAAACACAATTAATCAATTACATAAACTAAAAAGATAACAATTTTAATTTCCTAAAAAGAGAACACACAAATGAAACATTGACTAAAATAAACCAAACTAAGTTGCATTCCCACAACAAAATTTTCAGTCAAGGCCTCCAAGATTCATACTTTTCCTCATTAAATAAACTAAAACCATATATATTAAACTTTAGTTGTCGCCAAAACCATCAAAGCAGGGTTTTTTATGGTATTCAGGCACAATCACATACGACTTAAATCAAATTCAGCCCACAAAAGATAATTAATTGAAACTTACTTTAGGCCCCATTGTAACCTTAACAGTGTCGGCAAGCTCTTCGACGCCTCTAAGCATGGCGCCCCGAGCTTCCACCCCAAATTTAATGTCCTTCGCCCCATAATTTCTGCTCCAGGACAACCTACTACTACTGGCCTACATACATTAACAATCAAAACTATTTCAGAAAACGAAAGGCACCAGAAGAACTAGAAAGCCAAAAGGAGAAAATATATATAATAAATAAAAAAAAAAACGAGCACGCACCAGTTGGCTGCTCCTTGCAACCCTGAACAGATCGAAGAAACACAAGAAAAATCATTAACAAGAAAAATAGCAACAAATTAGATCGGAGGATAAGATGAACAAGAAGCCCATTGAGTACCTTGCTTTAGAAGCTAGATTATTGACAAATCGATACATGGTGGTGGCTGTGTAGGGTATGTACTGAAGTAAAATTTGGGGGAGTCTGGAACAGTGTAGGGTTCAAGGAGGGTTTTTATAAACGAATGGATAAAAGTTTGGAGAGTGTAGGGTTGAAGGAGGGTTTTATAAATGAGGGGATAAAAGTGAATTGGATTGTTGAGCAAGAAAAGGTTAAAATGGATATGGTTTAAATATATTTTTATTAAAAAAAAAAATGGAATATAAAAGGGCCAAAGAGGCAGGAATTCGTGGGTCTTTTGAAGTCGGGTAATTATAATAATTACGGGAAATGCTAAGGTCCCGTAACATTTCATCGGGTGTTTTAGGGGGTGATTGTTTACAAAATAATTTACTCACTTTTATTTCAACTCAAAATCTAACTCAACTTTAACTTAACCTCACTATCTTTAATATCATTCATATCAGTAAATAATACAAACCAATCATTCTTACACATCACATCAACTTTAATTCACTATTCATTTACTCACATAATTTTAACTACTTATCATTTCCAATCATTTCAATCATTTATCTCTTACTTTTACATCAAAACTATTTTAATTATTTTATTTTAAATATTATTTTAATACATTCTTAAAATTCCACTACAACTAACCATACCATATTTTTCAAAATTAACTATAGTTAACCAAAATAACTTAATTTGAACAAATTATTTCATAAACAATCAAGCCCTTAACCGTTGAATCCTCATGTAGTTAGATAAGATAAATGATCCAATGGTTAAAGCACTCGACGGGATGATACCGTAACGAGACCGTAACATTTTTCAAAAATTACAATTACAATTACATTTGTATATAGAGTAAAAAGTATATTCTTAGAGGATGGCTGTAATATCCCATTCAGTAATTAATAAAAATAATTATTTTAGTTTCGAGTTTGAAC